CGGGAAGGCGGGCCCAGGCGGCCAGGTCGAGCAGGCGGGTTGCTAAAGCGCACATCCTGCAAGAATCGCGAGGAAGTCTCGAGCGATACCGCAATTCCCAAATAAATCGTTGGGAAATCCACAGCGAAAGAGTGATTCCTGAGTGTCGAGGGTGCGGCGTCTGAATACTTTTGCAAAAAAAAAATGAAAAAATCCAACGCGAGACACGACTCCTGCATACATTGTGAGGATGTCCCGCGCGGGAGCGTGATTTGGGAGTCAACTGTGAAAAAGTATCAGGCGGGAGCCGTTGCTGTTGTAACTCGGGGGCCAGGGGGCCAGCTAGGTGGCACCTCACTGTCCATTGTAAAACAGGTACGAGCCCCACGAGAAGCACCTGAATTGAAAAAAACAAGGGTTACCAGGCAGGGGGAATCAACAACAAGTATTGTATAAATGAAAGATAATCGTTGTTATACTGTTCGCTGTTACCCGCTCGCGTGCCACTCAACACCTGCATCCCAAACCCTCGATACCCGCCCTCTTCGTCTTCGATCGTACCCCCTCTGGGATATATCATTCTTACCTGCCGCGTGTATTTCGCGCAGTCCCTAAGGCAGGCGGGGCTAGGAGCAGAAATAATGTGGCAGCGCCAGACGGGCAGATCGGGCGGGTGGACCCTAACAGGCAATTCGGGAAGGCGGGCCCAGGCGGCCAGGTCGAGCGGGCGGGTTGCTGAAGCGTGCGTCCTGCATGAATCGCGAGGAAGTCTCCAGCGATACCGCAATTCCCAAATAAATCGTGAGGAAGTCACCAGCGAAAGCGTGATTCCTGAGTGTCGAGGGTGCGGCGTCTGAATAAATTACAAAGAAGTCCCACGGGAGACACGGTCCCTGTATAAATGGCGAAGACGTCCCACGAGAGAGCGCGAGTTGGGAATAAACTGTGGGGGAATATCAGGCGGGAGCCGCTACTGTTGTAAACTGGGGGCATGGGACACAATTTGGTGGGACGGGAAAAACAACAACAACAACAACAACAACAACAACAATCAGTTTAAGACTGTTCGCTCTTGTCTGCTCGACTGTCCGTTAACGCGTATATCCCAAACCCTCGATACCCGCCCTCTTCGTCTTCGATATTGCCCCTTTTGGGGGGTTGACCTTTCTTCCCTGCAGGCCGGGCCCCGGCAAGCGGCGGGGCGGCCGCGGACCGTCGGCCTGGCCAGCGGCAGAACTGATCGACGGCAACCCGACCCCAAGAGGGACGGACAGGGGACCGACCACGACGACGACGACGTCGACGACGACGACGGCGACGGCGACGACGACGACGACGACGACGAGCGAAAGCGAGAGAGAGAACGACAGCAGGGCCACGAAGGGCACGAAGTAGGCCACGAAGGGCGACAGCGGGAACACGAAGGGAATGCGTGTGGGACCACGAAGAGCGCGAACGAGCGGGGGCCACGAAGAGCAGATAATGCGGGGCCACAGAGGGCAACGACGGGGCCACTGAGGGAAGCAACTGGGCCACGTAGGACAGCGAGGGGGCACAAAGGGCGACAGCGGGGCCACGAAGGGCATGCACATGGGGCCATGACGGGCGCGAACGAGCGGGGGCCACGAAGGGCATACGTATACTGGGCCGCAGAGGGCAAAGACGAGGCCACTGAGGGCAGCAACGGGGCCACGAAGGGCAGCGAGGGGGACACGAAGGGCGACAGCGGGGCCACGAAGGGCATGCATATGGGGCCACGGCGGGCGCGAACGAGCGGGGGCCACGAAGGGCACACATATGGGCCCACGAAGAGCAACGAGGGGGCCACGAAGGGCTGCAACGGGGCCACGAAACAAAGCGAGGGGGCCACGAAGGGCTGTAACGGGGCCACGAAGGGCAGCGAGGGGGCCACGAAGAGCTGCAACGGGGCTGCGAAGAGCTGCAACAATGCCACGAAGGGCTGCAACGGGACCACGAAGGGGTGCAACGGGGCCACGAAGGGCTGCAACGGGGCCACGAAGAGCTGCAACAAGGCCACGAAGGGCTGCAACGGGACCACGAAGGGGTGCAACGGGTTTACGAAGGGCTGCAACGGGGCCACGAAACAAAGCGAGGGGGCCACGAAGGGCTGCAACGGGTCCACGGAGGGCAGCGACGGGGCCACGAAGGGCTGCAACGGGGCCACGAAACAAAGCGACGGGGCAACGAAGGGCTGCAACGGGGCCGCGACACAAAGCGAGGGGGCCACGAAGGGCTGCGACGGGGCCACGAAACAAAGCGAGGGGGCCACGAAGGGCTGCAACGGGTCCACGAATGGCTGCGAGGAGGCCACGGGGGGCTGCAACGGTGCCACGAAGGACAGCGAGATCCCGATTTCAAGATCATCTGTGAGGGAGTCCTAAGCGCGAGCGCGACCCATGGGTGCCTGAGTGTTGGGAGCGCGGCGCTGGAGTAAATTGCGGGAAATGCCAACGCAAGGACGCTATTCTCGAGTAAATTGCAAGCAAGTCTCCAGCGAGAGCGCGACTCCAGAGCGCCGAGAGAGCGACTCCTGAATAAATTGTAAGGAAGTCCCAAGCGAGAGCGCGATTCCTGATAACATGCGAGGAAGTCTCGGGCGGGAGCGGGGGTCCTGGCTAAATTGTGAAGAATTCCCAGGCGGGAGCCGATGTTGTTGCAACCCGGGGGCCAACAACGCAGTTTGAGGATGAAGACTTTCCCTAATTCAAAAACACGGTGCGAGTGCTGGGAAGGGCACATCAATTGAAAAAAAAAAACATGTGCACCGGAGGGGGGATCAACAAGAATTACTATTCCGTAATGATAGCTCAAAAACAACAACCACAACAACAGCAGCAGCAGCAGCAATAGCAATAGCAACAGCAACAGCAACAGCAACAGAAACAGCAGCAACAATAACAAACAAACAACAACAAACAACAAACAACAACCACCACCACCACCACAACAACAACACCAGCAACAACAACAGCAGCCGCAGCACAAACCGACACACGCACACAACAACAATCGCTTTAAGACGCATGACACCAGCAACAACAACAACAACAACAACAACAACAACAACAACAGCAACAACAAAAACAAGAGCAACAATCATGTTACTAATGATCGATCTTACCTGCTCGCGTGCCTTTCAACACGTAAGCCTTCGGTACCCGCCCTCTTCGTCTTCGATCGTACTCCCCTGGGGGCATATCTTCCTTACCCGCCACATGTAATTGGCGCAGCCCCTAATTCAGGGGAAAAGAGGACGGACGGAAGGGGGAGGGAGAAGGATGAAGCACGGGATTCACAGGAGGAGGGCTGGGATCAGAAAACACATGGCAGAAGCAGACGGGCAGATCGGGCGGGTAGACCCTAACGGGCGTGTCGAAAGGCGGGCCCAGGCGACCAGGTCGAGCAGGCGTGTTGCTGAAGCCTGAGTACTGCATGGATCGCGAGGAAACTTCGAGCCGTAGCGCGATTCCAACTAAATCACGAAAAAAGCCAAAGCAACAGCGTGATTCCTGAGCGTTGAGCCCCGAGCGGGGCACTCCAATTGAAAAATTAAATGGCTTCCGGAGGGAAGAACAACAACGAAATATTCTTCATAAATGGGAATTCAGCAACAACAACAACAACCAAAACAACAATAACAACAACAGCAGCAGCAGCAACACAAACAACAACAACAACAACAACAACAACAACAACAGCAACAATAACAATAACAACAACAACAACAACAACAACAGCAACAACAACAACAACAACAACACCAACAACAACCACAACATTAACAACAACAACAACAACAACAACAACAACAACAACAACAACAATTACAACAACAACAACAACAACAACAACAACAACAATTACTAGCACGTGGGGACACTCCGTTCTCACCAGTGCCAGGGTTTTCATAGGAGGCGGGCAATACCCCCACTTTGTGGGGGGGCCGGTTCAAGCTCTACCAAATTTCCAAACGACTCTTCGCCACCACCCACACCCAGCTTCCCGCCCTATGACGTTCGGACACTTCACTTCGTGGCATGCGGACGACCGTGGCTACTATTCAGGGCCCCGCGGCCGACGACGACGGCGTGCGCGCGCGAAGAAAAAACGAATGTGTCCCGCATGGTATTATTTGACAGGGATGATGGCCCTGGCAGGTGCGCAACCGTTGTTGCAGAAGTTCGAAAAAGTTGCTCGCAAAAGCCCGTTTGACAGAAATGTTTAAAAAGTGTTGGGTTTCCTACGAATCCGCAAGAGCGCGCGGGATGAAATTTTGACAATTTGTTTTTAAAAAAACATTGGCTTTTTGATGTTTTTATGTTAAAATCGCTACGAAAACTAAGGTTTTGGAAGGATTTCGTCTTGCGCGCGCGAATGTCCACTTTACCTTATTTTTGCAAGGGATTCTTGAAGTTTGGGTATGTTAGAACAAGAAATGTCCACTTTAGCTTATTTTTTGCAAGGGAAAGCGGGCCGTAACAAAACAACCGGATCCGGACCAACCCGTTTTGCCTGAGACTTCCTCACGAAAATGATGAAAATGTGGCTGCGGCCTAGGCGCGGCGGGGGGGTCGTGCACCAGGGGTCCCAACAATAATTATTCTTTAGAAGTAATAATGTTCAACAACAACAACAACAACAACAACAACAGCAGCAGCAGCAGCAGCAGCAGCCGCAGCAGCAGCAACAACAACTATAGCAACAGCAGCAACGACGACAACAACAACAGACATCAAACAACAAACATCAACCAACAAAATAGTAATACCACGAAGAATCCGTATAATAATTCTCGGCCTAAGAACAATAAGAGCAATAAGACTGATGTTAAGACATTTCGCTCCCATCTGCTCGAGTGGACCCGGGGCCGCGGCGCCGCCAGTGGGCGGGGCATCGCGGCGTGTCTGGGCCGGCGGGCGCCGAGGGACGCCCCGAGGCGCCGCGGGCGCGCGCGCGCGCGCCGCTCCCCCCCGGTGCCGAGACGCGGGCAGGCCGCGGTCCGAATCCGTGCACGCCAGCTGCGCCTCGTCGGTCGCCTCGAGGGGAGGGGGGAGGGGGAGGGGATCGGAGGAGGAAAAAAAGTAGCTATACCTCTACCCTTCGCCCTCATGTTTACCCTTTTTGTTGAGCCTCCTGGGGGGATCTCCGCGCCAGCGCTGGATTCGCCTCGGAATCCTGGCCAGAGCGCACCCCAGGAGAGGTCTGGGGAGTAGCGATATATGGGTGCCTTTTGGTTACCCCAGGGGAGGGGCGGCGAAACAGGAGGGGCGATGGGCGCCGCACGCGGATCTCGGGACAGGGGCGAGGAGCAAGGGACGAGGGGAGAGGGACGAGGGGCGAGGGGCGGGGGACGGGGGGCGGAGGGTGCGGGAAGAGCGCATACGGAAGAGCAGCAGGGGACGAGCGCGGATGGAGGGAGGGTCCTCGATCTGCGTTTCTTGTTGGGAGGAAAAAGAGAAAAACAGGATTTGTCCCCTCAGGCCGACACGTAAAGCTGCAAAGTTGACTCCACCCGCTATCCCACCAAGGGTACACCTGGGGAAGGAAGAGTCCCAGGAAGCCACCAAAGACACGCCACAGGCCCAGGCCTAGCGCTCACGACGAAACGCATCCTCCTTCTCCTCCTCCTCCTCCTCCTCCTCCTCATCCTCCTCATCATCATCATCATCATCATCATCATCATCATCATCATCATCATCATCATCATCAGCAGCATCATCATCATCATCATCAGCAGCATCACCACCACCATCACCATTATCATCATCACCATCATCATCACCACCACCACCACCACCACCACCACCATCACCATCATCATCAGCATCATCAGCATCAGCATCAGCATCAGCATCATCACCATCATCGTCATCATCATCATCATCATCATCATCATCATCATCATCATCATCTCGGCATGATCATCATCAGCATCATCAACATCATCATCATCCTCATCATCAGCAGCATCACCACCACCATCATCATCAACACCACCACCACCACCAGCATCATCATCACCGCCATCATCATCTCAGCATCATCATCAGCAGTATCATCAACATCATCAGCATCATCAGCATCTCAATCAGCATCACCATCATCACCAACAACACCACCAACAACAACAATCATTTTAGGACTGTTCGTTTTTATCTGCTCGCGTGTCATTCAAAATGTATATCCCAAACCCTGGATACCCGCCCTTTGCGTCGTCGATCGTACCCCCTTTGGGGGGGTCTATTCATTCCAGGCTACGTGTGGTTGGTGAAGCCCTTGAAAACGAAACGAAGGGCATTCTTCTATGGGGCCACAAAGGGCGACAACGGGGCCACTGAGGGCAGCAAAGGGGCCACGAAGGGCAGCGAGAGGGCCACGAAGGGCAACAGCGGGGCTACGAAGGGCGTGCGTATGGGGCCGCGGCGGGCGACTGCGAGCGGGGGCCACGAAGGGCATATAATGCGGGGCCACAATGGGCAGCGACGGGGCCACTGAGGGCAGCAACAGGGCCACGAAGGGCAGCGAGCGAAGGCGACCGTGGAACCAGTACGGGCAGCGAGGGGCATCGAAGGCAGCGAAGGGCAGCGAGCGGCGACTGCAGTCCCTAACGGGCTGGTCGGGCGGGCAGGCCCAGACGGGCGGGTCGAGCGGGCGGGTCGTTGAAGCGTAAATTCTGCTTGAACCGCCAGGCAATATGGAGCGGGAGCGCCATTCCTGAGTGTCGAGGAGCGGCATCTGAATAAACTGTGGGGAAGTATCAGGCGGAAGCCGCGATTCGGTGGTAAGTTGCGAGAAAGTCCCAAGCGAGAGCGCGATTCTTCAGTAACTTGTGCGGAAGTATCAAGCGGGAGCCGCGATCCGGCGGTAAATTGCAAGGAAGTCCAAAGCGAGAGCGCGATTCTTCAATAAATTGTGAGGAAGTATCAGGCGGGAGCCGTTGTTGTTGTTGTTGTTGTAAACCGGGGGCCAACGACACAATTTGACCCTCAAGTCTTTCAGCTGATAAAAAACAGGGTGCGAGCCCCGGGAAGGGCACTTCAATCGAAAAAAATATATGTGCACCGGACGGGGGGGATCAACAATAATTATTCTTCAATGATGAGGGTTCAACAACAACAACAACCACAACAACAACAACAGCAACAACAGCAACAACAACAACAACGACAACAACAACAACAACAACGACAACCATAACAACAACAACAACAACAACAACAACAACAACAACAACAACAACAACAACAACAACAACCATTTTAAGGCTGTACGCTCTTACTTGCCCGCGAGTCATTCAACACGTATACCCTACACCCTCGATACCCGCCCTCTTCGTCTTCGATCACACCCCTTTCGGGGGGATTATTTCTCTTTGCTGGGGCCGGCGGGCTTAGACGTACGGGCAAACCGGAACGGGCGGACAATCCTTCGGGGGCGTACATCTCTCTGCCCGCCATTGGAATTGGCGCGGGCCCTGCAAGAGGAGGAGGGGAAGAACGAGGGAGAGTGGGAGGAAGGGGAGGGGGAAGGACGAAGGAAGAGGGAAGATACCACGTTGTGAAGGCGTCCTTGGCGCGTGCGTGGTTCCTGAGCGCCGAAACGCAATTCCAGAATAATTTGTGAGGACGTCGCACGCGAGAGCGCAGTCCTGAGTACATTGTGAGGAAATCTCAGGCGGAAGCGGGGGCCCTGACTAAGTTGCGAGGAAGTCTCAAGCGGGAGCGCCGTTCCTGAGCAAATTGCACGGAAGTCTCAGGCGGGAGCGGGGGTCCTCACCAAATTGCGAGGAAGTCTCAGGCGGGAGCGCCGTTCCTGAGTCAATTGCGCGGAAATGTCAGGCAGGAGCGGGGGTCCTGAGTAAAATTCGAAGAAGTCTCAGGCGGGAGCGCCGTTCCCACGTAAATTGCACGGAAGTCTCAGGCGGGAGCGGGGGTCTTGATTACATTGCGAGGAAGTCTCAGACGGGAGCGCCTTTCCTGAGTAAATTGCGCGGAAGTCTCAGGCGGGAGCGGGGGTCCTGAGTAAAAATCGAGGAAGTCTCAGGCGGGAGCCGTTGTTGTTGTAGCCCGGGGGGCAGGGGCACAGTTTGAGCAGGAAGACTTTCCTTGAGAAAAAACCAGGTGCGAGCCCCGGGGGTGGCACTTCAATCGAAAAAAATCAATGTGCACCGGTGGGGGGGGATCAACAATAATTATTCTTCAAGAATGAGAGTTCAACAACAACAACAACAACAACAACAACAACAACAACAACAACAACAACAACAATCACTTTACCCGAACGCTCAGTGTTCTCACCAGTGCCAGGGTTTTCATGCGACGCCAGCCAATACCCCCACTTTGTGGGGGGGCAGTGCAAGCTCTACCAAATATCCACACGACTCTTCGCCACCACCCACACCCAGCTTCCCGCCCTATGACGTTCGGACACTTCACTTCGTGGCCTGCGGACGACCGTGGCTACTACACTGGCGTGGAGTACACACCCACAGAAGTTGTTAAGCCTACGTTCGTACACCCACAGAAGTTGTTAAGCCTTGTTAACCCACAGAAGTTGTTAAGCCTTCCACAGAACATCTGTTGCATATGATGCATATGGTACATGATACACATGATACACATGATACGTACTCACAAGATAGTTGATCACATCTTTAGGGCAAATTCCTGAGGGATGTGGGAATACACAAGAGAGAGAGGATATGGTTGTCCCGATGGTTGTCTCGATGGTTGTCCCGATGGTTGTCCTGATGGTTGTGGTTGTCCCGATCGTTGTCCCGATGATTGTCCCGATGGTTGTCCTGATGGTTGTGCTTGTCCCGATCGTTGTCCCGATGACTGTCCCGATGATTGTCCCGATGGTTGTCCCGATGGTTGTTCCGATGGTTGTCCCGATGGTTGTCCCGATGGTTGTGAGCGATGCCGGATCCTCACGCCCCCCGCCGGAGGAGGAGGAGGAGGAGGAGCAGGACAAGGAGGAAAGGAGAGAAGAGAGAGGAGGGGCGGGAACGGCGCTTGCACGCCCACCCACCGTCTTTTCCCCGCCGCGGCTCTAAAGAGACGAGTTCGTGTGCTCGTCATCTTCTGGCATACGCCCGTCCCTGATGGCACGGATGGGGCGCAATGCTGCCAGCTGGGCTCCTGGCAGAAATACATCAGGGGCCAAGTGTCCAAGCATGGTGCGTTTGACAGAAATGTTTAAAAAGTGTTGGGTTTCCTACGAATCCGCAAGAGCGCGCGGGATGAGATGTTGACAATTTTTTGTTGAAAAACCATTGGGTTTTTGATGTTTTTATGTTAAAATCGCTGCGAACACTAAGGTTTTGGAAGGATTTCGTCTTGCGCGCGCGCGAATGTCCACTTTACCTTTTTTTTTGCAAGGGATTCTTGAAATTTGATTATATTAGAACAAGAAATGTCATTTTCTATTGTTTTTTGCAAGGGAAAGCGGATTACAACAAAACAACCGGATCCTGTACACACCCTCTTTTCTGAGGCTTCCTCACGAAAATGATGAAAATGTAGCTGCGGCCTAGGCGGCGCAGGGGGGGCGCGCACCAGGGGGCCCAACAATAATTATTCTTTAGAATAAATAATGTTCAACAACAACAACAACAACGATAACGACAACGACAACGACAACAACAGCAACAACATCATCATCAGCATTTGCAGCATCATCATCATCATCAGCAGCAGCAGCATCATCAATTTTATCAGCAGCATCACCATAATCAGCATCAGCATCATCATCAGCAGCAGCATCGTAATCGTCATCAGCTTCATCATCAGCATCAGCATCATCATCAGCAGCATCATCATCATCAGCATCATCAGCATCGTCATCGTCATCGTAATGGTCATCGTCATCGTAATCATCATCAACACAGCATCGTCACCATCACCACCGCCACCACCACTACCCCAAGAACCACAACCATCAACATCAGCCAACATCAGGGAGTGAGGCAGAGCCACGGAAGCGGAGGCCATGGCTGATCGCACGCCCACTGTCAGCTGAGGAGCTTCCCAACTCCACGCCCACACCTGCACACCACTTCTGAAGAAAGAAGAAAGGAGGGGGAGGGATGACGGCTCGACGAGGGGATACACATGACGTGCATCTCTTTCTTGTATGTTCCTCAACGTACGTCTGACAGTGAGTGAGTCTGAACGCGAGTATTAAGTGTGGGTGGGTCTGAGTGTGAGTGTGTGTGTGTGTGTGGCTAGGGATGCGAGGGTCAGTGTGTGAGCGAACCTGAGTATGAGTGAGTCTGAACATGAGTGAAGGCATCCAAGGGCTTCTCTGGGCCGTCCTTCGGCCTCGTGGGACCTCCCTCGGCTTCCCACGGCGTCCCCTTCCTGGGGCCTGCTGGAGCTTCCTGGGGCCTCCAGGGGAATCCTGGGGCCTCCTGCGAACTTCTGGGACTCCCATGGGGGTCTCCTTAGGTTTGTGACGACTTCTCGAGGCGCCCTAGACTCCGTTTCCTGGAGGCTCCAGGGACGTCCACGAGCCTCCTATAGCTTCCCGGGGCCTCCCAGACCCTCCCGTGCCCCCCTATGCAATTCACAAGCCCCGAGCAGCCTCCAGAGAGCCTTACTACCACGTTTTGGCCTCAGAAGGCCCAGCGAGCTACTATCTGGGACTAGGGCTTCGAGAGCCAAGTTTTGCGTAGGTCAACGTAGCGGGCCCCCACTCAGCTAGCCTTGCTCAACAAGCAAAACAAGAATATGTCCCAGAACGGGTTAATCCGCAACCGTTCTGGCCTGGAGCACCTCTGCGGTGCTCGGATACTTGTGGGGGCTGACCAGGCAGGATAGCGAGCTGTCGCGCTACCAGAAGCAGTTTCTATCCATCGCTATAGTGCTGCCAGCGCGGCGCCACCACTGCCCACCCATCCCGACGCCATCGACACATTCAAGAGATAAGCCTCAGACGAGGAGATAAACATCAGATACTGCGATCAGGGCAGCGATTATCAACGGGAACATTGCACCCTGGAACAAGGAGGACGAGGAAGAGGAGGGGGAAGGAGGAAGAGGAGGACGAGGAGGAGGAAGGAGGGAGGCAGAAGAAGAAGGGTGGACACACCTACGGTCCAACAGCGGCTTGTCTACCTGAGAAGTTCCACCCATCTGGGCGCGAACGCGCCCTTGACATCACCCTACTCGGCGCCCCTCGGGAGGCCCAAGGCGCCTCGAGAGGCCCCACCGATCTGGGCGAGAACGTGACCGTGATGCCACCCTGGTCGGCTTCCCTTTGGGAGGTCCAGCTGTGATGCCTGCTACATCGCGGTGGCCATGGGGCTCTGGCAAGAGGCAAGCACGCCCACCACCAAAAACGGCCGTTCTACCTGAGATGTCCCACCAATCTGGACGCGAACGCGCCCGTGACACCATCTAGGCCAGCTCCCCTCGGAGGCCCAAGTGCGATGCTGGCTACACTGCGGTGATCACGGGATTCTGAAAGAAGACGCCTACATCAAAAAACTCTCGTGCGAATCGAGAGGTACCACCAATCTGGGCGTGACCGTGCCCGTGATGCCATCCTGGTCGGCTCCCCCGTGACCATGGGGCTCTAGCAAGAATCACGTCTACCCCAAAAACGGACGTTCTACTTGAGAGAGTGCAAACATGCCCATGACACCACCCGGGTGGGCTCCCTCACTGGGAGGCCCAAGCGCGATGCCGGCTACATCGCGGCGATAGAAGGGGCTCTGAAAATAGGCACGTCTGACCAAAAAAACTAGTCATGGTACAACCCTGGTCTGCGCGGCAAGACGCTGGAGTGCTATACTGGCTACACTGCGGTGACCACGGGAATCTGAAAACAGGCACTTCTGCTTGCAGGCACGGCAGCTCGACTCGAGAGGTCCTACCAATGCGGGCTCCCCACGGGGGCCCGTGTACGATACCTGCTACCTCGCGGAGATCACTTGGTTCTGAAGCCATACACAAATGCCCCAACAAAAACAGCTGAACAATCTGGGCGAGAAAGCGCCCGTGACATCACCCTGGGTCGGCTCCACCTGGGCAGGCGCAAGCGCGACGCCTGCTACATCGTGATACGAGCGTGAGAGAATGAATGAGTCCGAGCGTGAGTGCATCTGCCTTTGAACTCGCACGAGCATAGGGCTTGGATGCGTCTGTTTGTGAGTGAGGCTGAGTGCGAGCGAGCCTGATGGCATCGGAGTCCGAGCGGGCGACTCTGAATATTAGTGACTCTAAGCATGGGAGAGAAAGGGGGTGGCGAGGAGGCGGAGGCATCACACCAATAATAGCATGATGTCGCGACTTACGATATATTGAATTCAACGAGGGTGCGCCGCTGGATCTCCCCAAAGGGATGGGGGGGTTGGGAAACCCCCCCCTTTCCCCGATCCGTCGTCGGGGACCCCCCCCCCTTTCCCGATCCGTCGTCGGGAACCCCCCCCCGTTCTCGATCAGTCGTCGGGGAAATCCCCCCCCCCTCCCCCCCTTTCACAAGGGGGGTCCGACCCCCTCTCCCCCCTCCCCCCCTTTGGCTGCCAAATTCTACCCCCCCTTTCCCCCCCTTTCGCCACGGCGACCCTGGGCTCTGGACCCCGACCCTTGCCACCCTTAACGCTAATCCTCACCCTTACCCTCATACCCAACCCTAACCCCGAACCAAAACAATAGCCCCAAACAGTACTCATTACTCGCTACGCATTACTCACTACACACTACTTACTCACTACTCACTTCTCACTTCTCACTGCTCACTACGCACGACTCACGACTTACTACTCACTACCGACTACTTACTACCTACTACCCCCTACTCACTACACACTACTCCCTACTCACTACTCACTAGTCAATACTCAATATCCACTACTCAATACTCAATACTCACTACTCTCACTACACACAACTCACTACCCACTACGCACTAAACACAAATCACTACTCACCACCCACTAACAACTATCCACTACTCGCTGTTCACTACTCACTGCCCACCATCCACTACTCACTATCTACTACCCGCTAATCCCTACTCACTACACAGTACCCACTACTCACTACTCATTACTCGCTACTCCCTACACCCTACTTGCTACCCCATACGCACCACTCACTACCCACAACTCACTACGCACTACGCTCCAACTACTCACTACCCACTACTCCCTACGCACTACTCCCAAACCACTACTTGCTACTCACTACCCAGTACTCAATACTCACTAATCACTAAACACGACTCACTGCCCACTACTCACTACTCACTAAACACTACTCACTACCCACCGCCCACTACCCACTACTCACTACTGAATACTCACAACTCACTACTTACTACTCACTGCCCACACCTCACTACTCACTATGCGCTCGCTACTCGCTACTCCTTTCTCCCTACACAGCACACACTGCTCACTACTCACTACTCACTACTCGCTACTCCGTACTTCCTAATGGCTACCCACTAGCAACTTGTCACAAGTCGCTACGCTACCCACTACTCACTATTCAGTACTCAGTACTCACGACTCACTACCCACTACGCACGACGTACTAGTCACTACTCACTACGCAATATTCACTACCCACTACGCACTACTCACTACTCACTAACCACTACTCCCTACTCTGTACTCCCTACTCAGTAGTCACTAGTCACAAACCGCTATCCACTACTCACTTTTCAGTACTCACTACTCACTACTCGCTACTCCGTACTTCCTACTGGCTACCCACTAGCAACTTGTCACAAGTCGCTACGCTACCCACTACTCACTATTCAGTACTCAGTACTCACGACTCACTACCCACTACGCACGACGTACTAGTCACTACTCACTACGCAATATTCACTACCCACTACGCACTACTCACTACTCACTAACCACTACTCCCTACTCTGTACTCCCTACTCAGTAGTCACTAGTCACAAGCCGCTATCCACTACTCACTTTTCAGTACTCACTACTCACAACTCACGACTCCCTACTCACTACTCCACTACTCACTACTCGCTACTCCCTTACCCACTGCCCAATACTCAATTTCCACTTCTCACTTCTCCCTACTCACTACTCACTACTCACTACTCACTACTCATGTACTCACATACTCACTACTACTCACTACTCGCTACTCACTACGACCACCCCTCCTCACTACCTCACTACTCACAGAGCCTTATTCACGACTCACTAATCACTACTACTCGCTACTACCTACTCGTTACTCACTACTTACTACCCACTACCCACTATTCACGACTCACTACTCACTACTCATTACTCACTGCGCGCTACTCACTATTCACTCCTCACTCCTCACTACTCGCTACTATCTACTCACTACTCACTATTCACTATTCACTACTCACTACTCACACTATCTACTCACTACTCACTACTCACTACTCACTACCCCGAGGCCAGACCCCCCCCCCTCCGCCCGGCCCCCTGTTCGGCGCAAAGGGGGGGAGGTGGGGGGGGGTCGAAATCCCCCCCCCCCCTTTCCAGCGCCAAAGGGGGGAGGGGGGGGGGGTCCAGACCCCCCCCCCCTTCATTGGGGGGGAGTTGGAGCCCCCCCCCTTCAGGGGGGAGGGGGGGTGGGGTCGAAAATCTCACCCCCCCTTTAAAGGGGGGGAGGGGGGGGGAGGTCGGATCCGACCCACCCACCCTTTTCAACTACAGGGTGATCCAGTGGGGCGCTTTCGAATTCAACCCCCCCCTGACGTAGCCAGTCCCAACCCTAACCTGACCCAGGCCCTGTCGACACTGCGCAAAAGCTAACCTGACCCATTTCAGTCAACGTGGCCAACGGCTCGGCGACACCAGTATGTCACGCGCGCGCTGTAGCAAATGCTACACCAGAATAAGGCCCAGTCGGCATGTGTGAGAGGCCCCTCGACGCGAGGCCAACCCGACCCAAACTGAAGTACGCCAGCCTCCATTGAATTGTCGTCGTCGTTAGGGAGATCGAACAAACAACGGGGATAGAACAATGTAGCAATCACGCCGGAAGGAAGCACCTTGGGTCCAAGGGGGTGTCCCGGGGGTGGTCGCGGGGGTGATCTGGGGGGTTCCCGGGGGGGTGACCCCTCCCCCACTGGCGGTTTTCCCCCTCGGTTTTCGCCTCCCAGACGCTCGCCCCCGAGGAGACAGACGGCTCTGATCCTGCTCCTCCTCTTCCTCCTCCTCCTCTTTCTCCTCCTCCACCTCCTCCTCCTCCTCCTCCTCTACAGTTACACAATATGAACACTACTCTCCTCTCTCCGATGATAACGTCCGGAAGGTATTCGGCCACCCTCCGCGTACTGTTTTTCACATACAGGATTCCCGGGAGTTGGGCTTTCGCTTGGGCTTTTCTCACAATTTTGCTCCCGCTGATGCGCTGGCCTCATTTTCAGGTTTCGGCTCGTTCCGAATCGTGCTCCCGCTGCAGCGCTGGCCTCATTTCCGCGCTTCCGCTCGTTCCGAATCGTGCTCCCGCTGCAGCGCTGGCCTTATTTCCGCGCTTCCGCTCGTTCCGAATAGTGCTCCCGCTGCAGCGCTGGCGTCATTATTTCCAGTGCCATGCTGCGGCGTGCAATGCAATGCTATGTGGTGTTCCGCTGTGCGATGCCATGCCTTCAGCTTCAGCGCAATACTATGTAGGACATGCAGTGTTTGACTACGCAGTGCCACGCCATGCTATGCCATGCAGCGCTGGCCCAAGTTCTGCGCCTCTGGTTGTTCCAAATCGTGCTCCTGCTGCAGCGTGGGCGTTCTCGGCCCTTCCGAATAAGCCCCAAAATAAAAAAATGTCCCCCGAATAAAAACATCGGAAGTGATTACACATTCGGTGTCGATTCGTTGATTTATTGGGCCGCAGAAGCCCCCCCCCTAACTTTGGGGCGTCGTCGCTTACAGGAAGTATCGAGCGGGAGCCCCGTTTCTGCTTTGAGAAGGCGATGTTGGAAGCAGAGCCAGCGGATACTCTCCATCAGCTCCGCCTTGTGTGGAGCTTTTCGGGGAGCCCAAGAAGCTAGACATGGAGCCACGACTCCAGACCGGGCCAGACCTTTTGAATATGAACCACTTACCCTCCAAGGAACCCGGCGCCATGCCATGACATGCTGTGAGGTGTTGTGCTCTGCGCCGCCGTGCGATGCCATGTTTTGCGTTGCAATGCTTTGTGATGCAGTGCTTCACTGCGCAATGCCACGGCATGCTATGGCATGCTACGCTCTGCCGTGCTCTTCTACGCCATGCCATGCCGTGCTTTACCACGCATCGCGCGCCCTCTCGCGATCATTGCCCTGCTCGACATCCGACTGTGCGGATAGAGCGGATATCTACGCCACGGTGAGGGATGGGAGGGAGGGGCAGGACGTCGGACATGACGCGAGCGCACCTAGCTTGTTCTCCCCCCCCTACCCCTCCTCCTCCCCCTCCTCCTCCTCCTCCTCCTCCTCCTCCTCCTCCGCCTCATCCTCCACCTCATCCTCGTCCTCATCCTCCTCCTCCTCCTCATCCTCCTGCCTCCACCGCCCGCCCCATTTCCCGAGCCTGTGGCAGGGTCATCAGCTCGTCATTGTCGTCGTGGTCGTCGTCGTGGTCGTCGTCATGGTCGTCGTCGTCATCCTTCTGGGTCGGCGGCACAGGCCGTGAGGCCTTCACAGTAAGAAGAGCAGGAGGCCGAGGAGGAAGCGGGCGAAGGGATAAGGAGGAATGCAAAACAACTGGTAGTGGAGGAGGACGGGAAAAAAGACGACGAAGAGGAAGACAAGGAGACAGAGAAGTAAAGGGAAGAAGAGGACGGAGGAGAACGACATCGACCAGGAGCGAGGCGAGGAGGAGTAGTAGGAAGGACAACGGCTGTCCTCGGAGGACAAGAGAGACGACGACGACGACGACGACGACGACGACGACGACCACGACGACGACGACGAAGACGACGACGACGACGACGACGACGACGACGACGACGACGACGACGACGACGACGACGACGACGACGACGACGGCGGCGGCGGCGGCGGCGGCCGGCCGACCGGCTCGCCCAGCGCTCCGCGGACGCCGCAGAACCCGAGCTGCCCCCGCGCTCCCGCCCGGCCGCCGCGGGCGGCGCGGGCGGCTGGGCGCGGCTGATCCTGCGGGCGCCGAGGCTCCCTCGCGGCCCGCTCGCCGCTCCCAGGGCGGTGGCCGCTATCCCGGCGGGTGCCGCTCCCGCTGGCTCGCTGCTCCGGCGGCGGCGCCTGCCAGCCGTTCCCACAGTCTGGGCAAAGCGCCCGAGGCATGCCCGCAAGCTGGGCGCGAACGGGAGTCGGCGGCTCCACCTCGGGGTCCTCAAATGCCACGCCTGCTAGATCGCGGTGCGCAGGAGGCTCTCGATAGAAAGGAGTCTGGGGGGTGGGGTGGGGGGGCAAGAACGGCAAACCACCCGAGACATCCTTACAATACGCGCGCGAACGGATTCAATACCCCCTGGCGGCGCCTCTTTGGGGTGCAGGAATGCAACGCCTACTACATCGCAGTGCTCACGGGGATGTCAAGCGAGAGACTGACCGTGCCAGTGAGTCTGAATGCGAGTGGGTCTGAATGCGAGCTAGTCTGAGCGTGGAAGAGTCTCTGCGTGAGTGAGTCTGAGCATGAGTGGGTCTGAGGATGAGCGAGCCCGAGTGTGAGAGAACCGCAGTGCGAAAGAGTCTGTGCGTGAGCGAGGAGAAGGCGAAGCAGGAAGGAGGCCAGCAGGAAGCCAGGGGCCGAGGGAAGGAGGGGCGGAGGAAGCCCATACTTGGGGTACAGAAAAGAAAAACAACTAGCCGTGTCCGCGGGCAGGCCTCGCCTGCAGGCCACCAGGACTCCGTGCACGCGCCCGTGCGGGGGAGCGGCACACCGAGGGGCCCACCGAAGAATCTCCGATGCGAAACAACCAGGAGCACGGGGAAGAGAAGCGGAGGAGGAGAGGAGGGAGGAGGAGAGGGAAGGGGCGAGGAAGAGAGGGAGGGGGGGAGGGGGGAAGAAGAGGAGCAAGGAGGAGGGAGGAGAGGAGGAGGAGGAGAAGGAGAAGGAGAAGAAGGAGAAGGAGGAGGAGGAGGAGGAGGAGGAGGAGGAGGAGGAGGAAGGCGGTGGAGGGGAGAAGGGGAAGAAGCGGCTCGGACGCGGGCCGAGTCTGTCAGCACCACGAAGAGGAGGGGGAGGTACAGAAGCGGCTCGGACGCGCGCCAAATCTGGGCCAACGCACAAAGAAGACTCTCGCCACGAACACCAGTTCGAACCTCCTCCTGCTCATCATCCACCACCTCCTCATCATCATCATCATCATCAGCAGCAGCAACAGCAATCATTCATCATCATCATCATCATCATCATCAGCAGCATCATCATCATCAGCAGCATCATCATCATCATCATCAGCAGCAGCATCATCTCATCATCATCATCATCATCATCATCATCATCATTCATCATCATCATCATCATCATCATAATCCCCAGTATCATCATCATCATCATCATCATCATCATCATCATCATCATCATCAGCAGCAGCAGCAGCAGCAGCAGCATCATCCTCGTCATCATTATCATCAGCAGCATCATCATCAGTATCAACATCACCATCACCATCATCATCATCATCATCATCATCATCACCATCACCATCACCATGATCATCATCATCAGCAGCATCATCATCATCAACATCATCATCACCACCATCATCATCATCAGCAGCAACAGCATCAGCATCAGCATCAGTATCATCATATTCCGTGTCATCATCATCATCATCATCATCATCATCATCATCAACAGCATCAGCATCAGCATCAGCATCATCATCATCCTCATCATCCTCATCATCATCATCATGATCATCATCATCCTAATCACCATCACCATCATCACAATCACAGTTAGTATCATCATCATCAGTATCAGCATCATCATCATCATGATCTTCATATTCAGTATCTTCAGTATCCTTTTCATCATCATCATCATCATCATCATCATCATCACAATCATCACCATCATTACCATCATCATCAGCATCAACAGCATCATCATCAGCAACATCATGAGCAGCATCAGCATAATCATTATCAGCAGCATCATCACCAGCATCATCATCAGCAGCAGCATCAGTATCATCATCAGTACCATTATCATCATTATCATCATCAGCGTCATCATTATCACCCTCATCACCATCAAGTACCACAACGACTGCAGACTTGATACCAAAAAGCTCGACCACTCCCAGGCGAACATTGAAGCTCGATTAGATGGCAGATATATGGGCTTCATGAAAAACGCTGCACTTAGCATGTCAAGAACTCAGCAACTCCCATGTGCGAAATATACCGCCTGAATGTGAACCATACGCGTTTGTCATGAGCCGTGCACTCAGCATGCGAGATATGCACACGCCTCAGATGAAACAGATACACGCGTGTGGTGCATGTACCACTACCAAATGACAACCAAGCAGCCACATGTCATAGCCATGCAGGTCTCACATGGGACATATGGCTCTCCCATGCGTCAACCATGGATGACCATGTGACAAATCAGCAGGTGCAGATGGAGAGCAGGCAGTCCGCAAGTGCCGAACACAACTCGGAGATGGAAGTTCTACGATCACCAGCCCAAAACGACACAATACACTTTGACACGCTACAACGAATTGGCGAATCTATGTCATACATACATATACACAACTAGACAGCTCTCATATGAAAAGAGCACAAACCCATGTGACAACCACACCGCTCCAGCACGGCAGCTACACAGCGACGCGCGACAGCCATACGTTCCCCACATGACCTATACCATGCGCGCCTGGGCGTGCCTAAAGAGGCGCCTGAGGTGTGCATAGGAGCGCCTACGAGCACCTCGTGGCGTCTGGCGGCGTTTGGGGGGTCCTGGGGCCGCCATGTGTCCGTTGACAAACGCCCCTGCACACCTGGGAACGGCCCCTAGAAGACCCCTGACATGAAGCCCCAAGGGGTTTCCAACCAACCCCGCAGCCACCATGGAAAGCAAATACGTCATCGTCATCATACGACCCGCACCATCACCAAAATTTGATCCTCTAATTCCTCCTCCTCCTTCTCCTCCTCCTCATCATCATCATCATCATCATTCCAATCCTCCTCCTCTTCCTCATGCTGCCCCTCGTCCTCCACATCATCGTCCTCCCCGTACTGCGTACCAAACCCACTTTCCTGCCCCGGGCAGCATCGGTCACCGCGGCGAGAATACCCAAAGTTCCGGATATAAGCTCCAAAAAAAACGGCGTTGCCGCCCTGCCAGCAAGATGGATGGATGGGACGGCCCGCAGGCCCGCTAGGATTTGCTCGGCCACGTCTCGGGGCCAACCGGCGACTTGACGTCGTTGCACTCCTGGGGAACGCGGGGGAGAGCAGTCATCGTCCTCCTGCTCCTCCTCCTCATCCTCCTCCTCCTCCTCGCAAGCCAGAAACCATGGGGCGTCACACGACTACTTCGACTACGACTACGACTACAACTACGACTACGACTACGGCTACGAAGAAAACTATTTCTACTCTTGCGACTGTTACTACCACTAACACGACTACTACTACTACTACTACTACTACTACTACTACGACGACGACTACTACTACTACTACTATTACTACTACTACTACTACTCCTACCCCTACTCCTACTACTACTACTACTACTACTACTACTGCTACTACTACTACGACTACTACTACTTCCACTACTACTACTACTACTACTACTACTACTACTACCACTACTACTACTACTACTACTACTACTACTACTACTACTACTACTACGAGTACTACTACTACTACGACTACGACTACGACTGCGACTACGACTACTACTACTACTACTACTACTACTACTACTACTACTACTACTACTACTACTTCCGCCCCAACGACCATTACTACGACTACTACGACTGCTAGCACCACTACTACTACTACGACTACTACTACTACTACTACTACTACGACTACTACTACCACTACTACTACTACGACAACAACAACTACTACTACTACTACCACCACCACCACCACCACCACTACTACTACTACTAATACTACCACTACTACTACCACTACCACTACAAATATTACTACGACTACGTTTACGACTACGACTTCTATCACTACTACTACTACTACTACTACTACTGCTACTACTACTACTACTGCTACTACTACTACGGCTACTACTACTACTACCCATACGACTACTACTACTACTACTACTACTGCTACTACTACTACTCCTACTACTACTGCTACTACTACTACTACTACAACTCACTACACACCTGACTACCACCCACACGACTACTAGAACCAGTGTCACGAACGCTGCCCCTACGAGTACTGCTACGTACTAGTACCACTACTAGTACGATTACTACGACTACTACTAACTACTACTAGCTAATACTACGAGCTACTACTATACTTCGACTACTAATTACTACTACGGCTACTACTACTAACTACTACTACTACTACTACTAACTACGACTACTCCGACTACTACTAACTACTACTACTACTACTACTACTGCTAGCTGCTTACGACTACTGAGTAACTACTACCCTCAACAAACTCATACACTGACTACTACTACTACTACACTCACTACTACTACTACTTACACGACCACATATACTACTACTATACGATTCCTACTGGTACACTACGACTAATATACTACTGCACTACTACTACTACTATACTACTACAAACTACTACTACTACTACTACTACTACTACTACTACTACTACTACTGCTACTGCTACTGCTACTACTACTACTACTACTACGACTACTACTACTACTACTATGACCACTACTACGGCTACGACGTCTACGGCGACTACGACGACTACGACTACCACGACTACTACTATTACCTCTGCGACTAGCCGTATCAGTAGTAGCACTACGACTACTACTACTGCTACTACCACTACTACTACTGCTACTACTACTACTACTACTACTACTACTACAACGACTAGTACGACGACTATTACTACGACTACTACGACTACTACTACTACTACTACTACTACTACTACTACTACTACTACTACTACTACTATTATTACGACTACTACTACTACTACCACTTCTATTACGACTACGACTACTACTACGACTACTGCTGCTACGACTTCAACGACTACTCTTACTACGACTACTGCTACTACTACGGCTGCAACGGCTACTACTACTGGTGGTAGTAGTACTACTATTACTAATAGTATCACTACTGTTACGACGACTACTACTACTACTACGACTAGTACTACTACTACTACTACTACTACTACTACTACTACTAGTACTACTAGTACCACTACGACAACGACTACGACTTCAACAACAACTACTACTACTACTACTACTACTACTACTACGACTACTACTACTACTACTACTACTACTACTACTACTACCACTACTACTGCTACTACTACTACTACTACTACTACTACGAGCAACTCTACAACGACTACTAACTACTACTACTACACTTACTACTACTATTACTACTACTACCCACTAACTACTAACCACTACTACTATTACAACTACTACGGCTACTACTACTACTACCTATTACTTCTAAGAATGACC